GCCTGCAGGGCCTCGTAGTCCAGCGACCGGAGGGCGAACAGGTGTCCGTTGTCCGCGTTGATGGAGACCAGGGAGGCCAGGGGCAGGTGCGGGTCCTGGGGCGGCAGCAGCGAGTAGGTGACCTGGGCGTTGGTTCCTGAGTCTCTGTCTGTGGCGCTGACGCTGCCGATGTGCAGGGAGGGGCTGTTGTTCTCGGGAACAAACAGGGTGTAGGAGGTTTTTGTGAAGGCGGGGGCGTTGTCATTGACGTCGGAGACCAGCACTGTTATGCTCTGCTCGGTTTTCAGCCTGGGTGTCCCCAAGTCTGTGACGGTGATGGTGATGTTGTACTCGGCTCTGGTCTCTCTGTCCAGCGCGCCTTCTGTTACTATGGTGTAGAAATTCTCCACGGAAGGTCTTAGTAGAAAGGGAAGATTGTTTTCTATTGAACAGATAACCTGTTGGTTATGTCCAGAGTCTGCGTCTGAAACACTGAAAACTGCCACTATGATCTCTGGCAAGTTTTCTGGCACGGGGCTGATGAGGAAAGACATGGTCAATTCCGGGGCGTTGTCATTCACGTCCAGGACCCTGACGACTAAAGAGCATTTTCCTGTTAGGCCTCCGCCATCTGTCGCCTCAATATCCACGTCATATGACTGAACTTCCTCAAAATCCAAAGCCTTTCTCAGCCGAATTTCTCCTGTGATTGCGTTTATTTCGAAGGGTTGGTTGACGTCATCGTCTTGAAACAGGGCGTAAGATACCTCCCCAAACGATCCTGCATCTAAATCTCTGGCTGAGACGGTAATAACCAGGGAGCCGAGGGGGTTGTTCTCAGGGACTTGCGCTTCGTAGAGCTCCTGAGCAAACTCGGGGACGTTGTCATTGATGTCCAAAACCTGAATCTGAATCTCAGAGGTCCCTGACCGAGGCGGAGACCCGCCATCCAGCGCGGTGAGCGTTAGCCTGAGTCGGGGCTGCTCCTCGCGGTCCAACGGTTTGTTCAGCACCAGCTCCGGGAACTTCCTGCCTTCGCTGCGATTCCGGGTGAGAACATGGAAGTGAGGGTTGGAGCTGATTGTGTAGCTCTGAAGGCCGTTGCTGCCAGTGTCTAAATCATGTGCCATTTTTAAAGGAAATATCTTTCCTGGCGTAGTAATTTCTGATATTTTCAGGAGCATTTTTCCGGCAGAGAATTCCGGGGCGTGGTCATTTATATCTCTGACTCGCAAGGAAGCCTGAAAAAACTGCAAGGGGTTTTCCAGTAACACTTGGAAAGTTAGCACACACGGCTCAGTGGGGCCACACAGCTCCTCCCGGTCCAATTTTTCATTTAGCAGTAAATCATGGGTCTGTGGATCCAGCTGCAAAAGTTGTCTGTTCCCTTTGAAAACAACCCGGGCGCCTCGTGCAGCCAGCTCCCCCACCCTCAGTCCCAGGTCCTTTGTCAAGTTGGCCACAAACGTGCCACTTTCTGTCTCCTCCAACACGGAATACTGAATCGATTCAGAACCCCCCTCTCCCCAAAGCACCAATAAAATGAAGAACGCCACTTGCCTTTTCTTGTTATGTGCTTTAGTTTGCTTCATGTCTATTGTTATGTGTGATTCCAGAAGAAAAGTCCTTTTCAGCTCCCAATCACCACATCCACAGTCGACTCTCGGAGATGTCTTTGCTAGAAATTTTAAAATTCGTTCTTATAACTTGTCTGGCGACGACTGCCTTCCTGGACACGTCTATCTCAGCTTTAGCTGTAAATGTGGTTTGTATTTTTACTTGGCTTCTGGGTGAAACGGAGTCCACCGAATCTGCAGAGCTGTCATCCACTCTCTTAGCCTGTACCGCCACCACGCGTCCAAACTAATAACTTCATGAGATATTTTCAGGTCAATAGCATTTCCGAAATCTGAGCATTACAAAGATTTTTAAGTTGAGTCAGTGTTTTTCAAGCTGAGTGTGTGGACCACATGCATAAATAATTGCTTGGGAGCGTTGGTTTTTTTGTGTATGTTTTTGTTTTAAGCCAAGAAGTACATATGATAGATGTATCTAAGCAAAAAAGTATTTAAAAGAGGGACTAGAGGCAATCAAGTATTTGATAAGCATTTTAGGATTCTACTCTATTTTTGGATGAATAGAATTAGACATTGTTTTAAGAGGTTTGTGCATTTTTTTCTGAATTTTTAAAAATCAAATTCCCCTCTTACATTATTTAATCAAGGTCCAAATATATTACCCTGTTGTACCAACATGATGCAATGCAGAAAATGAACATTCAAGAATCACTTTCACCATCTTCTCACAGCACAAAAAACAGCATGTCCTATAAATATAGGCCAAATTAAGGTACTGTAAAAAAGGTGAATTACATTTGAGTGAATGCTGTGGAATTCAATGATGGAATATTATGGCTATATCCATTCTCATCTCACTAGTTTCTGCTCAGATATGTTGAAAAATGTATCTCTAAACAAACTGAAAATGTATGAAATAGATTAATGCACATAGAAGAGTCAAAATATGCCAAACAATTCAATTCATTTCAGATTGATTTAGTATTTATTGAGAGACGAAATCAGTTGAGCTCAAGCAAAGTTCACTTCAGGTAAGAGCCAAGGTGATAGAAGATTAAAAATCAGGATATTTTCAAACACATAAACTCTAGGTAAAATAAGTAAGGCTAAATAAAATCTAAACTCTGAATAGCTGAGGTGGTCTTGTAGTTCAAAATTACCTCCATGTAGCCAAAAAAACAAAAGATTATCAGTGTGACCAGCTGCCAAGTTTCACTTGATAGATGTTACTGAGAACACACAGTTCTTTGAGGATGTGAATAACAAAATGAACTTATAAAGTAAAACCAACAATCATAAACATCTTGGATGGGTGTGGTTTCTTTGTTGAAACAAGGCCATTATTTCCTGCTCAATCTTAAATGCTTCTTTTTTTGAGTGGGCATTCTGGGTTCTGATTCCAGCTTAATGGCATCCGCAAAGTTTTTATTCACTCTCTTTTCCTGAAGCACAACCAGGCATCCTCAAATATGGGTTGTTGAATTATTTTTTACTTCAAAGAAAATTTATCAACAGTACAATATTTGTCAAATTTCATTTAGATCCTTGAAATGTCTTTGATAACATTGATAGTTTATAGAAAGAAGATAGCATTTGAAAGTACCCCCAAAAATATCAGTTGGGTCTATCAAGAAACTGCCTTTTTATAGAAAATGGATTACATTAGATTGTTTCAGGAGAATGCGTCTCTGCCTTGCCCTCTTTTGCTTTGATTTGATTTGCTAGAGTAGAGTTGAATTAACTTTGCATTCATAAACATGTTCTCATAAGGAATCATTAACTTAAAATTTTTATTATGGAAAAATTCCAACATATAAAAGTAAACAGAGTAAGCCTCTGTACACAACCAGCTTCACATTCTGTCTTCTTGTCCTGTCTATACCTTTCTCTCCATTCTGTGCTTCCCACTCAATGATTACTTTTGCATAGTTCTTTCCTTAAGGCAATGTTTACAGAAATTGAAATGCACCAATCTTAACTGCACCACTTTAACAAATGAATCCATGTGTGTAATTCACACTTTTTTCAAGATATAGAACATTTTCATCATTCACTGGGAATCATCTTAATCATACTTTGACAGCTCAGTTTTATTAACTGGGGAGCAAAACCTTGGTCTCATCTAGACACATGATGGAAAAGTAGACAATGTGAAAAAGCACCATATCCCATATTCTTTATGCTCATGCATGGCAACGTGAAGTGATAGATTAATTAGCTTGATCGTTACCAGTAAGCTGAAATAGTATTTTAACTGATGAAATGTTGTAAAGTATGTTAAACTTAATTTTATGTAGTTAGCCTGTAATTATAGGTTCAGCAGCCCTTGTCCGAAATGCTTGAGACCAAAAGTGTTTCAGATTTCAGATTTTTATTTTAGAACATTCACATGTACATACTGGGATATGTTGGGAATGGGACCCATGCCTAAACATGAAATTCATTTAGGTTTCATATACATCTTACACAAATATCCTGAAGGCAATTTTATGTAATGTTTCTGAACAATTTTGTGCATGAAACAAAGTTTGCATTGTGTACTTTTGTGTGGAATGTTCCACTTGTGGCATCATTATATAACCTTCTGGCTACTCCTGCTTTATTCGTTTATTTATTGGCTCAAAAAGTTTAGGGCTTTGGAGCATTTCCTATTTTTGAATTTTTGGATTAGGGATATGCAACCCATACCAGTACTGCACAGCTGGTATAGCTGATTTCCATTTTATGTTTCAGTTAATCCCATTAAAAATTTAAAACATTATTTAGCTTTATCAAAGGAGAAAGATAAAGACCTTCAAGGACAACTGATTATTTTAAAACTCTTCTTTATTTATATGGAAAGAAAAACACAATAATACAGGGAAAAGATAGAGATTATATATAAGCAATCACTTAACGTAGCCCAATTAATAGGAGATATGCTGCTAGAAAGTCGATGATATAAATGATTTGATACTAAATCACATTTGAAATCTAAAATGTTTGGGCAAGACTTTTTGTCAGTATTGCTAGAAGTTCATTATTTTATTTTATTTTGTTTTCAATGTTTTCCAAATAACTAGTTCTTTGTTTCTTTATTGCTTTATTACTTTTGCTTTAAATTTTCTTGATTTCTTCTACTATCTTGTTATTTTCTTCCTTCTGAATGCTTCGGGTTTATATTCTTCATCTTTTTCTAGATTCTTGAGGTAGAAGTTTGAAATTGATAAACTGGTGGGTGATGGATTTGAGAATTTTCCTCTTTTCTAATGTATGCATTTAGTGCTATAAAGCTTTCCACTCTGCACTGTGTTAGCTATGTCTCATAAATTTTGATGTGTTGTATTTTCATTTTCAATTCAGGTCAATGTATTTTTAAATTTCCCTTGAGATCTTCTTTTTGATGTAAAGATTATTTAGAAGTATGTTTCTTCATATCCCCCAAGTGTTTGAAGGTTTTCCTCTTAGCTTTCCATTATTTATTTTTAGTTTAATTTAGTGCTTGGAGAACCCACTCCGTATGATTTCACTATTAATTTGGCTGAGGTTGGTTTTATGGCTGAGGATGTGGTTATATATGTTCTGTG